GAGAGAGAGAGAGAGAGTAGAGATACCTACACCTACATATACATTACCTTTAAAAAATCAGCTGCGGAATTTTTTTGAACAATTAAGATCTCAAAAAAAAATATTCTAAAAAAACACAACACAAACTACTCGTCTTTTTAATAAGTAAATAAACATTCTGAAACATCAACATAAAGCTTGGAAATAATCCCTAATAATCTGCCTCGGAAGTCAATGATTAAAAACTATCATATTGTAAATATCTTCAGATGTAGTTTTTCTTCGTTTGAGATATTTGGTATTTTGTGAAGTATGCCAGCGGCTTCAAAAGTTTATTTACGTGTTTTAGATAGTTAGTCATATTTTTATCATGTTTTTTCTTCTAAGTTTTACGAAAATTTGCCAATAAAAAATACTCAAGGAAGACGAGGAAGTTTATTTTCACAGATAACAATTAAAACTTTATACGTATCCATTCTTCACATGCACCAGGCACTAGAGTAAATACGTCCCCATTCTTCACATGCACCAGACACTACAGTAAATGCGTCTCCATTCTTCACATGCACGAGGCACTATGGTAAGTACGTATCCATTCTTCACATGCACCAGACACTATGGTAAATAAGTCCCCATTCTTCACATGCACCAGACACTACAGTAAATGCGTCTCCATTCTTCAATTATGCATCACGCACTTTGGTTAATATGCGAGCTGGGCCAAGTCTTCTTCCCTTATCTGAATAAAGGTCCACCTGAATGTACTTGATGTTTAATAATACGTGTTGAGTGAGATGTTAAGCGTGTATTAGTCCACTATTGAATGATGGCCTCTCTCCCCTACTACCTACACTACAGCCTGCACTATCTTTCTCTATCTCGTGGGATCCACTGCCTGCACAGCCCACAGAAACACTATCACCAAACGGAGAACAAGATACAAGACACACGAACTACCGCCGCTCAACGATTACTACCACAACAACAAGAAAATTTCAACCCGACCAGAAAATACAAAACATCCCTTTGCCAATAACCCAGGGAACCGCTTCACTGGTCCATTGATGTAAACATATGCTGCCAGCAGCCTCTTACTCGTAATCCAAATACCTAAAACTCTTATACAACATCCACCAATGGGATGAATTCTTCTGGGAAAAATTACTTTGATCTTATCTACCTAAATCTAAAAGAATAAAAAAAAACGTGCCTGTCTGTCTGTTCCAGCCACTGATCCAAAACAGAAGTAGCTTGAGAACTGAAACTTGACACATACATATTACATGAGTCCTAGCCACGGCCATTGGCTATGAACTGCCTCTCAAAAGCAAACCCGAGGAGCGTCTCAACAGCTGATACTGCTCGACTCTCTGCTCTGCCCTTCGAGGAACTAGAGAAATGTGAGACAAAAGCCATACTGATGCATTACAGGCTTCTTAAAAGACACAAACTAGCTTGAACTCCGTGACGATATGTTTTCATAATAATAATAATAATAATAATAATAATAATAATAATAATAATAATAATAATAATAATAATAATAATAATAATAATAAATGAAGAAAAAGAAAAGGAAACGATATTATGATATCCTAATTCACCAGAGAGATACAGAAAAGAAAAGAGAGAGAGAGAGAGAGAGAGAGAGAGAGAGAGAGAGAGAACACCAATATCGCAAACAACACCAGACGCTGTACGGATTGGCGGCCTATGGCGAAGCGGAAGATGGTAATGATTCCGTGTTCTTGTATCTTTTATTGTTTGACTTAACCCAATCTCTCTCTCTCTGAAGTGACGAATGAGGGATGACGAGTGAGAGGGGAGGGGAAGAGAGGGGAGGGGAGGGTGACAGGTGGCGAGTGAGAAGGATTGAGGTGCGAGGTGAGGGAGAGTGAGGGGTGACATGTGAGGAAGGTTGAGGCGTATCGAGTGAGGGGGTGGAGGTGAGAGGTGATGAGTGAGGGGTAAGAGAGAGTGAGGAGTGACAGGTGAGGGGGTGGAGGTGGGAGGTGATGAGGAGGGGGTGGGGAGGGTGAGGAGGACAGGTGAGGGGGTGGAGGTGAGAGGGGTAATGAGTGAGGGGTAAGAGACAGTTATGAGACAAGGAGGGGGGTGGAGGGGAGAGGTAATGAGGGGAGGGGTGAGGGGGAGGGAGGACAGGTGAGGGGGTGGAGGTGAGAGGTGATGAGTGAGGGGTAAGAGAGGGTGGGGAGGAGGATGAGTGAGGGTGAGGGTGAGTGGAATGACAGGTGAGGGGGTGGAGGTGAGGTGGGAGCGAGGCAGGGGGGTGAGGGAGGGTGAGGAGTAAATAGTGGGGGACAGGAGTGTGTCAATAACCAGGAGACATAACGGCCAGACCACAACTTCCCACCTCCCTCTCCTCTACCCACTCCACTCCCATCTACCTCTCATCTCCCTCTCTATTTTACAGCTCTCTCTCTCTCTCTCTCTCTTGGTGGTGGTAGTCTGCTTTAACATCTCGCGTGTTTTTTTTTTGTTTTTTTAAAGGATATTAGCCCACCCGGGCACAGGTCACCGACCCACATCGGGACCTGGGGGGCGAAAATTTAATAATAACAATATAATAATAATAATATTAATAATAAAAATAATAATATTAATGATAATAATAATAATAATAATAATAATAATAATAATAATAATAATAATAATAATAATAATAATAATAATAATATTAATACAGTAATTCATAGTAATTAAAATTTATAATAAAAAGTAAAATAAAATAATATCAACAATAACAATAACAACACTGTAATAATGATAATAAAAAAATCAATAGTGAGAAACGCTATAAGTACAGTATGTTGTGTTGCCAATAGTAAGAGAAACAATTGAGACCCTGCAATTGTGTGTAAATGAGGCAGAAAGTCAGATCAGCAACCTGGGACTTGGTCACAATATTCGTGATGCCATATGGCAGCAGGGTCTACCATTAGACAACACATGCTTCCAATATCTTCCCAGGCGGTAGTACCTCCCTGTTTGGTAGCTGCCTACTACCTACTACCTACAAGTTAAGTCTTTATTAACATCTCAAGTCTGTATTAACATGTCTAGTTACTCACAGACGTAGCTGAATGATCTTTTCTCGTTCACAACTCATATGTTTAGTTTTTAAGATATAAAGAGCATCCATCTATCAGGACCTGCTGGGAGTGTATCGTTTAATGGACGAGCGTTGACAAGTGTAGAGGCAGGAGACGTCAAGGCCCTGACATCCTGCCCTGACAAACGGCTATTCATGACCACTTTCCTCTCGTCAGCGTGACATCAACCCGGAGAATTAAAGGGTTAAAAAGGGTTGTGAAGCTGTGCCTGGAGCCTGGCAGCAGTTGTATGAAAAAAGAAGTTTGAATATTTACTTGATTTCTGTTTTTTTTTTTTAATATATTTAGTCTGTTGTGTAGTAGAGAGAACGCTATTTGGACGCTGGCTACACTTTACTCGTCGCAGATGACAACCACGAACTCAGAGGTAATGAGTGTTTTGGGGATCCCCTAAAAAACTTACCCCACCTCTAGACCACTAAGACCCCAAGGTACCTCCAGAACACCAAGACCATCGAGATTCCCAACCTACCCCATCCCAAGACCATTGTGAGCCCCAGGCCCTTCCAAGACAACAGAGAACTCAAAGCCCCCCTCCAAGACCACAGAAATCCATAGGCCATTCCAAGACCAAAGAGACCCATAGGCCCTTCCAATACCACTCAGACCCCCATATTCCTACAGGACTTAAAAGACTCTTACCTAGAGCCCCTGAACACCAACACCTGCCACCACCCTGTCAGCCTATGATATCCATTTACCCTCACCCGCCTAAACAACTAACTATATTGCAGTCTTTACCCCCAACACACTGCCAAAACAAGTAAAGGTTCTTGAATACCTCCATAACCTTGAGGCTGAGAACATCACATACACCAATATATACTGACGGTTCTCTTAACACCGTCTGTGGGAGGGCTGGAAGTGCTGTTGTAAATATACTAGAGAGGGGAGTCTAAAGTAACAAATAAAACTGTTTGTCATACTCATTCACTCTTCTTAGTTCAAGTGACAGCCACAGACAGTCTTACCAGCACCTGACTCCTCATCTTGCCCTTAACACCATCAAGTCCTAAGAGCCTACACACTTGTCTCTTGGCGCTGCACATAGTTACATACGTATTAATGATAAAGGGATGCAGATCACGTGGTTATGGATTTCTATTCATGTACACAGGACACCGACAACACGACATAGCTGAACTTGTGGTAATGAAGATACAGTTCAGTGGGGTTTATTGATTGTCAAATACATCTCAGAAAAGTTTAATTTGGGGAAAAAATAGTAATTGAATCGGAAGCAAAACAGACGACGTATACAAACAGGTACAGTATTAGTTGATCCACTGTCCACCTGTGTGTACGGAACAATTAACAAGATCAGTAGACCACAAGACATCACCACTACTATACTAAGACTATACTTGTAAGTACTTCAGGCAGTATGTATCTCTGGAGACACAAATAATGCAGAATATAAAGGTGTGCGGACAGAGATACAACCACACACCATTACACTACGTCTTAGATTATCAGAAAATAAAACCTTCTACAGACAGGTCTAAACATATAGTGCACGTTATGACGTAAGCAACACTCTACTGCTGATGGTATGACAAGTGATATCTTTAAGACTGTACCCACACTTTGTACCGAGTCAGTCACTTTGTAAACACTTTATGCCCTTCTGTATTTTATCATGTAATAGTAAAATGACCACTGGGGAAGGAGGGAGGGAGGGAGGGAGGGAGGGAGGGAGGGAGGGAGGAGGGGGAGGGAGGAGGGAGGGAGGGAGAAAGGAAGGAAGGAAGGAGGGAGGAGGAAGGGAGAGGGGTGACCTTTGTTATATGAATCCTTATGTATCTGCTCTAGGATGATTATGGGGTGCACTATAAATAGGCCCCCAAGAAACACTGATAACACCCCCACATTGGAACCCCAGCAAGG